CTATTGCATATTGTTAATTTATTATTAGAGTGAATGTTTCTAGTTATTGTAGTGATAATAATTGTTATCTTAAAATAATTGTATTTATCATTGCTGTAATTATTATCATTAGTTATCCAATTTTTCTCTTTTTTTATCACTATAATGATTATTATTATCACTAATTATCATATTTGTTATTGATGAAACAATTTTTTTATTCAATTACCTTAGTTATTATTAGTGTAATATTCTACTATTTTATTTATTATTGCTATAACAATTATTCTTTTTAATACTAGCATTATTTATTATTGTAACAAATATTTGAATATAAAAAAAAAGTTAAAAAATAGACAATTCAACATGAAATTTTTGTCTAAATTTATGATTTGATTTAAAATTTTCAGTTAAAATTGAGTAAGAAAAAATGAAATCAATGAGAAATCAATTATATTAAATTATTAATAACGTAAAAATTTATGAGAAAACATTTAATTGATAAAAGAAATGTTGAAATAACCATTAATTATAATTAACATAAATTCAAATTGAGAATTATCTAAACTCAAATTTTATAAATTCTTAGAGTTATTCAAATTATTTTACATCTGTACTATAAAATATGGATAGTCAAATTTAACAATATCAACTGATAATTTTTTATTAGATTTACTTAAAATGATACAATAGTAAATGAAGAAAAATTTAAATGAGAAACGCATACAATTATTAAAATTTTTAAATTGAAAAAAATCAAAACATTTCATATAATAGCTTTATTTGAAAAAAAAAAAAAAAGAACAAATATGAATATTGAAAAAAAGTTTAAAATCTTTTGTAATAAACTAAAAAAAGTAATTATTACTTTCTAATATTACCGTTTCTTTGAATGATTCGAACAACGATTTTGTGTAATGGTTGTAGCCAATTGCGCTTAAATTTCAGTTGTCTAACATTTTTTATATTAATGTCACAAATGATTTAATTTTAATCCGAAATGTTAACTTAAGCTTAAATTTAGGTGCAATGTACATTGAATCGGATTAATGAACGTCTTTAAAAAAAAAAAAAAAAAAGGGAAAATAAGGAAATTTTATCAGCTGTATGACAAACTTTGGTTTGATTTACTATCAATGTTATGCAATCCATTTAAAGAAAATGTGATCGTTCTTTTTTTTTCTTGTTGTAAACAGAAAAAATTTCACAAAAAAAAAAGGGAAAAGACATCGTTTAGTGTGATATGATATGATAATTTCAATAAGTTGTTTACATAAAATCATTCCTTTTTTTTTTTTTTTTTTTCTTTAGCACTATTTGATAATACTTCAGAATTAAATTATTTAATATAACAAGAATGAATGAATGCATGCTATATGAAATTGTTTATCAGTTTGAAAATAATTATAAAAGCTTTGTCAATAAATAATCCTTATCACACGATAGCAGGTGATATTATTTGTAAGAGAGAGTTTAATTTTAAGAAGAAATGTAAATGGTCAATATATTATTGCTAATAGTATTGCATTGAACTATAAACAAATTTTCTCATCATAATCAATAAATAATTCTTATCACTTAAGAATAAGAGTTAGTGATAAATATTACTAGAAGGAGAGCAAGCAAATTTAAGGGAATAAGACATTTTCCATAATAAAAACATTTGATTATTGTTTTATGAAATTTAATAAATTTCAAGTATTCAATGCAATTAATATGAGAAATTCATTAACTAACCTTTATTTAGTTTAATTTGTTTTTGTTTTTTTTTTATTTTAGAGAAAATTAAAAATTAATAAATGCAAAATCCAAGTATTTCTGATTTTTAAAACTGATAATTTCAAAGCTTACGTAAATATTTTAAGCAAATAATTATTGCATCTTATGAGCAATGATAAGTTTCAAAACATAAAAGTTCAAATTCCAATTTTGTTAATTTGATTTTATTTCTTTCATTTGAACTATCCTCGAAAACAAAGGAAAAATTCTAATTTAATAAAGATTATTTGATTAATTTTACATATTAGTTACATTCAATATTTAATTTACTAAATTTGATAAAAAAATAATCATATCATATGATTTGATTACGGAAAGTGTCTTACCTATAAGAGCAGCGTATAACACGTACGTGTTATATGACTTAACTCATTAACCTAACTCAAAAGTGGTAAAAATCATACTTTTCACATCTATCTAATTTGTTTTACATGCATTTATTAACTTAGGCATTTGTAAAATAAAGTAATAAAAGTAATATAAGCCTTAGTTTCAATTAATTTCAGTAAAAAATTCATTTGCAAAAAAAAAAAAAATTTTGAGAACTTTATCAAAATAGTGGGAAATTTAATTTTTAAAGTGAGGGCACAATACTTTTTCAAATTCTTTCCTTTTTTCAATTAAAAAAAATTCTCAAAAGCGATTTAACAGATTTTGTATGATTAAATATTTGAACAAATTAAATATTTAAAAATCAATTAATATTGCTTTCTCTTCATGGCATCAAATAATTTTATTTATTATTTATTACAAAAAAATTAAATTATTCTCCTCTAGGAACATTTATTTTATCATTTTAATTAATAAAAAATCTAATTAATAAAAATATTATAAACAATTATATATTTTTATTTATAACATTCAACTTTTTTTACCTATAAATTATTTATGCCTTTTTTTTTCAATTTTCTATCACAGAAATTTATCATTTTCTGCATTATAATCCATTTGATAAAATAATAACATTTCATAATTCTTTTAAAGTATAAAAATTTGAAAACCAAATTAGAAAAAAAAAAAAAAATTGATTTCATTTTAAGATAAACCAGAAAAAAGCTTTTCTTATCAGTAGCGCACTTTGATGCAGAAATATTGTTAACACCTTTTGTGATAAGCAAATATAGCATTACGTTTCCTTCTTTTTTTTTTCTGTTTAGTTTGAAATTCTTTTCATATCAAATTATGAATTACTTTTTACATTCCATTTTCATTGCAAAGTAAAATTGTTAAGTTATAATATTTGTTTTTTTTTTCAAAAATGACAAATGGAAGAAATAAATTTTATTCAATAAGTAATTAATGTAATCAATTTCATTGATTTATATGTGTGATTAAATTTTAATTAAAATTTAAACAATATTTATTTTAAGTAAGTTTTCGAAAAAAATTTTTTTTTCTCAATAAACTAAAATTTATCACTTATCAAAGCATAATAAATTGATTTATCAATAGAAATAATTAACAATATAAATGATCAAAAGAAAGAATAAGTGGGAAGAGAGAGAGAGAGAGAGAGAGATGTAAATATTTGATTGCTATGTTAAACTATTCAATTTAAATTTTTGAGTGACAGGAAAATGTGTCAACAGAAAAGCATAAGTTCCTCCGAAACATCATCCGATAGTGAACCATTGACTCCGATATTTCTTTTCCGGTAGCAAATAATTTAATATGCCGAATCCGATGATAGTATTTCAGTTTTACTGAAATTAATTGATATCTGACTGTAAAAGATATCAAATAATTTGATTAATTTCATTAGCATATTCGTTCTCCATTAAAATTTTATTGATATTAACTAAAATTTAATTTTAATTTTATTGATATTAACTGAAATCTAATTTTAATAACATATTAGATTTGGATTCTTTACTTACAGAAACTGTCCTAACAGCTTTTAAAAATCTTATGATTTTTAAAAATTGAAAAAATATTTTCTGCTCAAAAAGCATAAACATTAAATGTGGAAAGTTTTACAGTGCAAAAAGCATTTGAATGATAACAACTGATAAGTGATACGACAGTGATAGTAATTATGATGACATTTATCAATTAAAGCATCTGATACAATAAATAGATAAATAAGCAAAGGTCTAATCATTTAATATTAATTGGTTGATCAAGCGGTTTTGTGAAAGGTATAAAGTTCAATGCACATTGCGCCTTTTTACGATGTCACAGTAAAACATTTGCATATAAAATGCGCAATACTTGTAAATATAAAAGTGATTAACTACTTTTCCGGAATTTTCCCTCGACAACACGGTTGGTAAGTCATTTTGAATTAATAAAAGATTACGTGGAAAGGCTAATGAAGCGCATATGTGTCTGAAGATAAAGCGCAACTGCACATGGAACAGTATTGAAGGAAAGTAAAAAGGTTTCATGATGAAAATACTAAAAAACTGCGGCAAAAAAAAGCAAAAATGTCAAAGGTCAGCGTAAATAGTAAGTTGCAAATGACTGCTTTATTAGAGTTTGAACTTATTAATTCTGAGATAAATTTTGTACAAGTTAAAGTGATTAATATGAGTATGTTTCAGTCGTCAACAGCGCCTTCTTCTTTAATAAATCGTTCAGGATCAAGAATTGCTCATTGATTCAGCAGTTAACAGCGCCTTCTTTAATAAATCGTTCAGGATCAAGAATTGCTCACTGATTCAGCTGTCAACAGCGCCTTCTCTAATGAATCGTTTAGGATCAGGAATTGCTCACTGATTCAGCTGTCAACAGCGCCTTCTCTAATGAATCGTTCAGGATCAGGAATTGTTCATTAGTTCAGCTGTCAACAGCGCCTTCTCTAATGAATCGTTCAGGATCAGGAATTGTTCATTAGTTCAGCTGTCAACAGCGCCTTCTCTAATGAATCGTTCAGGATCAGGAATTGTTCATTAGTTCAGCTGTCAACAGCGCCTTCTCTAATGAATCGTTCAGGATCAGGATTTCCTCAATTCAGCTGTCAGCAGCGCCTTCTCTAATGAATCGTTCAGGATCAGGAAAGAAGTCAAGGAGAAATTATATTTATCAGAAACGTTAAAGAGTTAATCTTTTATTTAAACTAAAAACAACAGTAGATTTTAATGCCATTACCGAAAACATTTAAATATTCAAGCAAAAATGAATCGATGACAGATATAAAATCATTGTTTAACACAGCGCAATTCATTGTCACTTTTATTCATTCGATTAATTTGTCGATTCTCAAAACTTTTTCTCATTTTTGGATTCCTAAATTCCACGTGATGAATCAGTCCGAGGTTAACGTTCCATGATTCACCCTACGCTTCCATCGTTTCTAATCCGGAATATATCATTTTATAACAATTTATAAGTTAGATTACAGAAAATATAATACCTGAAAAAGTATGCTATTCATTACATTTTCCTGATTTGAGCCACAAATTAAAATTTTCATGAAATTGTTAAGGATTTGACCCTTCCGGATTGGCAATGCGAGAAATGCAATTTGTATTCACCACATACATCTGCCGCATTGTATCTGTGGTGCGCAAATTGTGAAAAAATCATTTGCGCATTTTGCATTGGTAATTTACCACAATGATTAAAACAAAGAATAACCAATCCAAAGCACTCAAATAGAGTTATACCTCTAATTTGGCATCTTTTAAATTCTTTTAATTCTGATAGAAAGGAAAATATTTTTAAAGGCAAAAAAGTCAATCGAATTTAGTTTGAAAATAAAATCAATTTTGCACATTTATTTAAGGTCAATGTAGTAATGAAACTCATTCATGGATGCCAGCAAGCGAAATTATCTATGAACTCAAAGAAAATATCGTTTATACAAATGCGGAAATGTCCAAAGTATTTTATTTATTCATTTATTTTTTTGCCATTTATTTACTTACCTTCTGGCTTTTAATTTCTCAATTTTTGAATTTATAGTCTGTGGGAAATATGAAAATTACTGGCAAAGATGCGATACGATCACTTCATGGACTTATGCAAACTCTAACAGAATTGAAGAAACAATGTGAGGTTGGTGGAATAAAGTAATTTTGTTTGCTTTTAAAGTTAATATTTGTTTAAAAAGTTTAACAATTTATTTTGCATTTGAATTTCAGAACTAAAAATAAGGTGAATTCTTAATTTTTTCATCAATTTCATTTAATTTAAACTTAAAAAGCGCTAATTTATTAAGGGCGTAAGTGAAGTGATCAAAGTGTTATCGGAAACGTTAAATGAACGGCAAAATGCTGCTGACGTACGTCGTAAGGAAACGAATGAGCATCGACCGTTTACGTCGATTCTAATACAAAAATTACGAGTGGAAATTAAGGATAACAAATGTTTAGCTGAAGAAGCAACTGCCATTGCACTATTATTCGGCAATCTCATCAAACAATGTTAGCAAAAATTTTAATTATTCAATCAATAAATTCTATCTTTCAATGCAGTTTGCATCAGAATCATCGCTTTAAATTTTTTGTGAAAGTCAAACGGTTTGCAGCGGATAATATTTGCAAGGATGCGCGCAATCTGATGAATTCATTTTCGTTGGAAAAGAAAGTTGAAATTGAAGCAAAGGCGAATGATAACATAGAACTTGAAGACGATGCTATTAGTCAAAAGTCAAATGTAAATGCATTTGGTGACAATTTGCTCGACAACGACGAGTACGACGTTACAGTCCGTGAAGTTAAACGTGAAGATGACAGCACAGAGGTAATTTGTACTTTATTATTGTCACGAAAGCAGAAAAACTACTTAAATTAAAAAATGCTATTGATTGCTGCGCATCATCTTTAGGATTCCGGAAAAACGGGTATACTGGATGAGACGGCCACAGTACCACTGACGGACACTACCGTAAAGAAGAAAATTGAAACTGAGCAAATGTGAAAATGAAAATTTTCACATTGATTTATACTGCATACTGCTTGTGAATGACGTGACATACTTTTCGAATATGATTTCAATAAATTCAAAAGTTTGATGAAATGGACAAAACACTTCCAAAATTTACTCATTTGAAAGATCTTTCGGGATCTCTCATTGAGGGCTGTGATCATCCAAAACATTACGAGCAAAATCTGCCAAATATTGACTAGTTGGCCAGAAATAATATTGGAAGACTTTCTGGCATGTTCTCGATCTATCAGCATTTTATCTCGAACATATCACAGTAATAAAATACAAATTAGTAAATAACTTAAGAATAAATCAATATCTATTGAAAAATCCATCACACGTAGAAAAACAAAAAACTTACCTCAGACAGTATGAATTTCAGATATGCAAGAAACGGAAGGGGAAAGTGAAACGGAAAGGTTATAAACTATCTAAAGAGAAGGGTCAATTGTCAGAGATTCATAAACAAAAGATAATTTTGTTGTCACAAATATTCGTCATTGAGGTTCAAATGATTTGAGCACATTCCACTTACTTTTTATAATTCCAGAAAAATTGGATATATATTTGTTAAATTTCAAAATTTTTAAGAATGGTAAGTTTAAATTTCCTTATTTTGAGATAAAGTTTGCATATTTTGAAATAAATTTATAAAAGAATTGAGAAATATTTGTATATATATATCATAGATGTAAAGTGAGATTTTATGAATTTAAAAACTAATCAATTAAGTGGTATAAAAGATAATTCATTTGATTTCAAATTTCATTGTGCTACTAAAAGGATGCCAAATCCGCCAGCTAAGGAGGATACTTGGGCTTTTGGGCCAATTGGTTCACCATTTCCAGATAATCCGGTTCGAGCTACCGGACAGCAAAATATGTATGTAGCATTATGGTATAAGCATGGTAAACCAATACACGGACGAGCATGGAATAATGGCGGTGTTATCGAATGCTCATTCCCGTATATCAGAGCTGAACTAACTGGTGCCAAAGATCTTGGTGGACAAATTCAGGTCTATCAACTAAAATTCGAAATTATGCATTTCAATTTGAATGAATTAACCGTAATGAAATTAATTTCAGGTTTTGCAATATAAAGGAGATCATTTAACACTTGGTTTTTGGTATAATTGGATTAAATATAAGGATCGATTCGAGAAATTTGAAAAAGGAGCTGAACTGTTGCGCTGTGGTGATTCATTTCCAATCTTTTGGCATGATCGAAAAGAGGGACCGCTACTTGGCTATGTTGATAATAAAACTGAAATTGGTAAATGAGATAATTATGATAAATTAATTTAAAAATCCGTTCATTTTACTCAATTTGATCAATCAATCAATCAATCAATCAACCAATCAATCAGTCAGCCAATCAATCAATATTGTTTTTTTTTCTTTTTATAAAGTAAATACTGTAATTATTTCAGCACGATTTTCACATGATGGAAGAGTGGAAGAAGTTTCAGGCGGTGCGCTAAATGATATGCTTATCATCGTACGTGAACTAAAAGGTGGACCGCCAAATTGTGTTTGTCATGAATGTAGCGTTGGGCCACCGAAACCGGTTATTCGTATTACACTTGATGAATGGGCTGATTTTCGTTATGGTGATCCATGGCCAACAACTGGTAAACCAGTTCAGGCTCTAGACCGGTATTATTCATTGTTCTAATTAAGCACTATTTGCTAATTCTTAAATTGTTAAAAAAAAAATTTTTTTTTAGAGCTCTTAATACTTTACCTGATGAAAATCCGAAACAATATGTGGCACTATGGTATCAATCCGGTGAACCGGTTATGGGTCGAATTTGGAATGATGGCGGAAAAATTGCTGCATCATTTGGCTGGGGTGGTCATGAATATCGTAAAAATATTGGTTCAATTCAAGTTTTATTTGAACTTCCGGAAAAAATACGTGGTTTTGACTACGCATGGAAACCGTTTAAGGAAGCAGCTCAATTCGGTACAAAAGAATGGATTCCAGTACACGTGGATCATCATAAAGGCAACATTTCTCCAGCTGTATTAATCATCGATGGTAAAGAGATTCTTGGTAAAGTATGTATTAACTTCTATTTTAATTGTAAATATAGGCCAATTAAATTTTTCTTCTTTTCCTCAATATTCTCGTTTATATCATTTTCAGGCTGATATCCGTAACGAACGTGCAACGGTTGGCCATGCTGGAACCGAAAAAGTGTACGTTGGCCCTGCAGTACACACGTGCGTCGTTTTATGTCGAAAAGCAAAACCTGGTTGTACAATCAACTGAAATATAATCTATTCATAGCAAATAATTTTTCTTCAACTGACGTGTACTATCATCATTCTTACGTGTATTACGTGAATAAAAACTCAATAACTAATCAATGTGATTTATTTGTATCAAAAAGAAAAACAAAGAATAATGCAAATTTATTTCACTCAAATTCTGAATTGCATTTTCCATTAATATTTCATGATAATTAATGAGAAAGAAACAATCTATTTGCGCTTATTTCAAAGAAGCGCAAATAGATTGTAGGTGCAAAAGTTTAAAATAAATTATTCAATAAAATAATTATTATCAAGAGAGAAAAATTACAATCATTAAAATGTATGTGCATAAAAGATTCTGAAAATAGAAATGAAATATTTCAGTAAAATTTTCATAACAAACATAATTGCAACTTTAAATAATTTGTAAAAACAAAATGCAAAAAACAAAAAAAAAAAAAAAAATTTAGCTTTCAATTTATACGTGAAGTTTAAATTCTAATAAATTCATTGCAAGAAAAAAATTCTAAATGCATTTTTCTTTCTTTTTTTTTTTTTTGAAGAAACACTCTAAATCATCAAAAGCATTTCTTCCGCTTCAAATGATAACAAAGTGCGCCATCCTTTTGTCATCATTTCCCTTCAATCTTTAACCCTTCCATCATTCTGATCTCATTTTTATCAGTCATTTTCTATGAATCACATTTTCATTTCTATCATTTATTGATTATTTCATTAATTTTTGCTTAGGCAAATAAATTAGAAAAAAAAAAAAAGAGATGAAAGCGAACAGTTTAAGTATTATCAATTATTATCAAATTTCATATCATTTAATTCTTATTTAAAAAAAAAAAAAAATTAGTAAAATTAATAATTTAGTAAATTTTATGAGTTATATTTATTGATGATAAAATTAAATCAAAGTGAATTGCAATGATATTATCACCATTATTCATTATGCATACTTATCATTACTATGTTATCAGTATGATTTTATCTATATATTATCATTGATCATTAGATCAAAAACTATAATGTAAAATTAGAAATATGATAGCACAGATTTAAAAAAATGAAAATATTCCTGAGAAAAATCTTATCAGTTGCTTCGCTTTTTTTTTTTTTTTTTTTTGTGAATATAAAGATTGAGCAATAGATATTAAATTTCGAATGATTATTTTTAGGAAAATTTTAGAAAAGTAAAAAATGTTTGAAAATGATTGCAGCGTTTTTGTTTTAATATCTTTTTATTATATTTTTTAAATTAATATTGATTATTTATATTTAAACATTTATTAATAATATTTGCAATTTATATTCCAATTATTTATACTTTAATATTTTTGTATTTCATACTTTAATTGCAACGTTTTTTTTTTTTAAAATCTTTTTATTATATTTTTTAAATTAATATTGATTATTAATATTTAAACATTTATTAATAATATTTGTAATTTGTATTCCATTTATTTATACTTTAATATTTTTGTATTTCAAACTTTATTTTTTTTTTTTTATAATAATTATAATTATTTTTTTGCATATTTTATAAAAAGTTTTATCATAATAAAAATTGAAAAATTATCAAATGGAAAAAAATTTTTCAAATAAACAATAATTTTAAGCCAAATAATTATTTATTTGCTAATATTGTATTAATAAATGATAAAAAAAAAAACTTTTATAACAAAAATTTTTCACTTTTTTTTTTTTTTATTGTTGAGCGTTAAATTTGATTGCAACAATGAATCATTGAATTAATGCTAAATGATTTTTTTTAAATGCTATTTGAACAGTTTCAACAAAAATTATTGTAAAATCATTTAAAATTTTCATTAAAATTGTTGAAAATCTGTTAAAGATCTTTTATTTATTTATTTATTTATTTTTTAAAAACAAAATGATTAAATATAAAAGCGCTAAAATTTAAATTTTAGCACTGTCATCAATTGCATTTATATATCATTTCATAATTATTTCCAAAAAAAAAAAAAAAAACTTTTTTTTTTTTGAAATTGAAATTAAAAAAAATGAAATTTTTTTCTCTTTCCTAAAAATCGATTTATTTGTTTATTTTTATTAATTAATAATTTAATAAATTTGTTTTAATCTTTCTTTTAAGATTCATTGGAGCATTTCAATTTTACAATTATATGTATTTCTTCTTTTTTTTTTTTTTTTTTAATAAGAAAATTAATTTTACCATAAAAAAAAAACTGATATATACTAAATATTTCATTTTTATTCAATTTTTAATAAAATATTAATTGAATATAAATTTATCATCTTATAACATTCATTTTAAGTTTTATAATTTCTAATCATTTTATACAAATATAAAAAATCAATTTTGTTTTCCTAATTTATTTTGATATTAATTAATGATTAAAAAAAAAATTTCATTTCAAATCTTTTTTTTTTTTTTGAACTTATTTTATCATTTCAAATTCACAATTGTATACATTGTTTATAATTTCGTTAGATTAAAAAAAGAAAAAAAAAAAAAACTGATATATATTTTATTTTATTTAATTTATAATTAAATATTATAATTAAATTTTTACAATTAAATATATTTTTTATTAATTCATAATAATTCTTTAAATATAATAATTATTTTCAATTTTAATTTTATATTTTTTAAATGAATTTTACAAAAAGATTTAAAATTGATTGATTGATTGATTTATTTGTCTTTCTTTGAAATTTGTTAACCAAACGATGAAATCGATACGTTGCAGAATTGGCAAATTCTTTTTTGCTTACATTTGATATATGTTTAATTAAATATTTATTTTAATCGATCAAAGATTCTTTTTTTTTTTTTTCTTTTCATTGAATTCACAAACCATAATTACTTCACCCTAAAAACTATATGTATACTATAAAAAAAAAAAAAAAGAAATTACTGCTATATTTGTAAAATACTATTTGACCTTGAAATCGTCAATTATATTTACTTCTCGAATAATTCAAAAAAAAAAAGTTTAAAAATTTTATTGTAAAAATTTTTACAATTTCGTTCCATTTTTTTTTTTATAAATGTTGTTTTCGTTTTCTTTTTTTGTTTTCCAAAATTATCGTTAAATTCATTGATCAATTTATTATTAAAGCTAAAATAAATTGATATTTAGCATTTGATATAATTTCAAAAAAAAAAAAACTATTTAAAAACTATTTTTCTTTCTTCAATTTTTAAATAATTTGTGTAATTATTTAAGGTTGAATAAATTTTTCATGAAAAAGGAATGAAATTTTGAATGCATTCATTTCTAATGTATATTTTCAAATTAAAGAATAAAAATTTAACAAAATTAAAGAAATATGCAAAATGATTTTTTCAATTCTAATTTAAATTGCAATCTTATTATTTTTTTTTTAAAAAAAAAAACTATTAAAAATTTTGAAATTTTGCATTGAAATAATTTAATTGTATTGAATAAATTTTATCATTAATATTTGCTAAAATATTGTTGTATAATTAATGATAAGTTTTTAATTTCTTTCATCAACTTATCATCTCTAAATAAAAATTATGATCACTCTGAGATGATACAAAAGTAAACAATTAAAAAAAAATGAATTGAAAATTTTTTTAAAAATTTTTATAAGCATTAATAGAATTTTGAAAATATTGCTTTGATTTTTGACATGACAAATACATTTTCAAAAATAAAAAGAATAAAATTTAAAAAAAAAAAAAAACTTTAAGAATAATTGATTTTTAAAATTTTTTAAAATTTCGACGAAATTTACAATTTTTTTATTTTAAATTATAATAGTTAAACATATAAGAAAAGCCATTCATTCCATTTGATATTCTCTAAAATTCCTTTTAAATGAGCAATATGCCTTTTCTTTTTATTAGCCAAAAAAAAAAAAGATGGAAAAATTAATTTGACTTTTTTTTTTAAAAATATTAAAATTGTTTTCTCTCTAAATTTTATTATTATTGTTATTGAAGAAGAAATAATCAGTGGCTACAAACTAGATTTTCTATTGTTTATTTTTAATTTAGAAAAAAAAAAAAAAAAGAAAAAAGGTTAATGTAAACAAATAAGTTAAGTGTTTGTAACAACAAAAGCTATTTCCGCTTCTGCACTTTTTTTTTTTTTATTTTCTGTTTTAATTTCATTCCTTTAAATTTTCTTTTAAATTAAAAACTTTTAAGTGGAAGAAACGGAAATTTTTTTTTTTTTAATCCAGCAACAGCCACTTAATTTATTTGTTATTTCAAATATTTAAACCTCAATGATGCAAATGAAATCATTAAATTTAATTCTGTTAATTCATTTCTTATCTTTTTCATTTTACAAAAAAAAATTTCGCAGATTATCGATTCTTTTTTTAGTTTTCTTCATTTTTTGATAAATGGTAATTTAGAAATTTAAAGAGAAAATTATTCCTTCATAAATTATTATTTATTGTTATTATTATCAAGATTTGATTAAAGAAATAAATAGTTTAATTTTTTAATTTAAAAAAAAAAAAATATAGTACTACAAGATTTTTACTTTTTTAGAATAAAATAAATGAAAGTAAAAAATTTTAATCATTATTAATTTCCATTTTGCACATATTTTGTTCTATTAATTTATTCTTTTCTATGCAAATTCTTGAAAAAAAAAAAAAAAGAGATTTCACCTTACTTTTAGAAAATTTACTTTTAATTTTTTTTTTTTTAGAATTTATCTTCTTTTTAATTTAAAATTATCAAAAAACAAAAATTTAGCAAATTTTTTTTTCAGCTTTGCTTCTATAGTAATATTTAATTAATTGTTTTAATTATTTTATTTCAAAATAATTAAAGGATCAGTGAACATTAACAGTTAATTAATAAAATTAAAGTTAATTAATGCTATTATACTAAATAACTTATTTCTTATCATTGATTACTTATTGTTAAGCTTAATTAATGATAGAACAAAATATTACAGCAAAATTTTTATTACAATCGTAAATTTGCATTTAAAAGATTAAAAAAAAAAATTTATTGGATGAGTAAAAGCAAAGACA